GATCTTTTGCTTCCAGGGAGATCCTACGACGTGATCGATGGACAGGGAAGGGAAATATACCTAGTAAAAGGACAAGCGGACTCCTTAGGGGGCGGACCGACACGCGCTTTGCCGCGCCACCCCCTCCCCCTCCCCGGCGATGTAGCTGAACCTTAACGGCGCGCTGCGCCCACCGATTGGTTAATCACTCGCTGCAGGTCTCTTACCGTTTAGAAGAGCTGCGCCGTTAGCGTTGAAGAGGGCAGCGCCGATGAGATTCGCATCCTTGCGGGCATCAACGAGCAAGGAAGGGACCGGGGTATATATCGGGACGCATACGGTTTTCTTATGTTTTTTTTTCGTTATCCGGCACCGCAAACCTTTCTACCTTGATTCTATTGGGCTGCCTTCTACTCGTAGACTCCGCGTTCAAAAGGTAAGCATGAGGTCAGGAAGACACTGGTGCCGGCTCATGCAATGGCGAAGCGTCTTGCCAGTAACTGAATATCTTTGTTATATCAGCTATGAATTTCCTATAAGTAATTCGCTTCTAGGAGGCGCTAGCCGGTGTCAACATGACGAAAGTGATAGGAAGTACAACCAACTGCTTACAATTCGACCAGAACGGATTCTGCTTGGTAAATATGCGCTGGCAATCTTTGATGAAGAAACCCAAAAAATAACGAAGTATGTACTTTAGGAAAACACTGGTAACAACGTGAATGTGAGCGGGCTTAGTTTCGATAAGCTCTATGGAATCACGTTTTGTGCTGTGAAAGATCCTCGGAACCTCACCATACCAGACTTGACAGACAGCAGTAGAGCGGTCCGGCCACGGACCAATAAAATATACGTCGACTCCAAAGGTAAAACTGTCAGATCTCTCATTGTTTTTTCAGCAAAACGGTGTTCGTCCTGGACGTTCGAAGAATACTGCGTATACATTCACTTTTCAAGACGGAAAGTGACCGCATGGCGCAATCCAAGACGGTGCTTTCTGGAAACTTCAAAGGCAAAGTTCGGGATTTCTGGTCGAAATTTAGCTTTTCCCGTCAAATATGCAGCAGTACGCAAGGGCAGACCATGTGCAGAAGTGGCGGGGCGATTTGACAAGGTTTAGGCGCTAGGAGCCTAGGTTGGAGCATTGGCGCCGCCCCAACCCCATTGAGCCCGCCCACCGTTCCACGTGACCTTCCAAACAACCACCTGGAACACTAGATGCAAGCGTTGTTTGGAAGGTCGTAAGGGAATATTTAGCGGATTTCACGTGCCAAATTCAACATCAAAGCCTATGTTATGAATGAAATTCCAAGCCTTGGCTAGTGAGCGAGTCCACCGGCCTAACCTGGCCACCGACTTTTCCTCACATGGTAAGCCATCGACTGGCATGTTGGTTCCTTACCTAAATGTTTAATATCTCGACAGGATAGTATCCTACCGCTTTTGCCTATAAATGGAACTCCTGTTGGACCCCTCATCCTGGGCACAAAAGTGCACAACTTTCTGCTGCCGGATAACGTATGTCTATGTCAGTGGAAGATTCAAAAAATTGTTAAGTTTGAGTTGTTGAATTTATCCGTGCCCACTCATAATTGGCGCCTCCCAGCGATTGTTTGTTTTATTTTTTTCCAAAGAAAGAAGTGAACCACGCCAAATCTCGTTAATTTAGATCAAGCTGGCAGTAAAGCGGGCATGATCATCGGAATCGTCTTCGGTGCGATCGTCCTCCTGATTGCTGGCATTATTGGCATCTGCTGTTACATTAACCGGAAGCAGAAGCAAGAGAATAAACTCTATCAACTGAAACTAGCCCAGCTGGAACGCGAAAAGGAGTGCCGATACACTGATTTTCCGAAAAAGTGCGTGACATTCCAAAGTACACATGCCTATAGTCAGTCGGCAGATTAAGGGTGTTAAAGGCAGATGGTACGATAAAATGGTCCTCGTTGAGAACGAAAGTGAGGCAATAAGTGAGACAGCGATAAAGATATAACAAGAGAAATCGCCTGTAATTTTGCGAAGTGGGACCTTTTTGTGTTACTTCACTCGATCGAATCAGCGAAGATTTACGAAGGTGAAAGAAATTCTTAAAGGGTGACGCATTAGCTCTGTCCTGTCTTCTCTTGGTGACTCAGCCGGTGAGGATTAACATTCACCCACAACTCAACTGCAAGGCAAAACTGCACCTTGTACGTACTTGGAAGGCTGAGCTTCACGGAGAATAACGGTTTAGAAGGGTAAAGCTTATTGGGCGTGCGGAGCGCGTCCTTCGCACGAAGGGAAGAGCATTTACGTTTCACTCAAAAGGTTCTAGTTTCTTAAGAATTGGTCATGGAGAACTATCCTACCTACAAATATTTTATGTTTATCTCTGTTATCATCATCCTTTGTAAAGAGCCAAAAAGGAGGTATCTTATTTGTCGTATTTCAGTTGATTTTTGTCGGGGACATGTTCTTTGGTATATATTTTCTTCCTACTACTAGAAATTCTCTTTGGGGATCGTTTTTTGAACATTCTGTTATCGGTCATTTGTGCTGTTTTGAGCGCGGTATCTGCTTTCTCCCAGAGGCTTCATTGTCGTAGCATTCTTTTTGCAGGCGTTGTGAAGACCTAAAATCGCAAACTTTAATGAATGGTATAGTTCGACCTTTCTCTTGCTATAACCACAAATGTTGGTCGATTTGGGAACGAATGTGAGTGGGAATTCTACGTTGTATGTGATAAGAACTCCGAACGTATTCTATCACATGTTCAATTATTGGTTGTCGGTTCGTGATAGTTGAGAAAATAAACCAACAAATTGTGTAACCTGCATCTTCTAATTAGTAGTTGTATTCGAATTCATTGGGAGCAGTGAGTTAGGCGCTGGATATCGGGTATTGAGACTTAGACTCTTCCTGAGTGCCTATCACACCATCTAATGGCCGTTACTTAATAGCGACCTTAAAGACACGTGACTTGAAAATTTATGGCGACAGAAGAGGGCATAATTTTTTTGTTGGGACAGACCTGTACTGCACAGGGCTACTGAGGAACATTAAATTTTGCAAATAGTGGCATGGTTGACCTTGGTCGCCGCTCGAGCGCTTTGATTCTCGCTAAATGTTTGGTACATTGGTGTCTCCAAGAATGTGGTTTTTCTCTCAGGTTATACACCTCATGGACGAAAGCACGACTGGTCGAGATGCGTAGTAGAAAAAGGTTATCGGGTCACGAGTAACGTGCCTTTGTGTGAAGTTAATATCCTGGAGCAACATTAGAACTCTTGGCTGCAGGATTGTCTTCAGCTCAAAGAGATGCTGTGCCATCCAGGTCACTGTTTTTAGTGAAAGTAACAGTGTTTAGCAAGTGGTTAGGTGGGTCATGGCTTATGGTTGCTCGGAAATCGGGGATGAACTATAGTTGTATGTCAGGCTAACGGTTCGCCCGAAAGACGAATAAGGGAGATATCAGGCAGTTTCCAGGTCGTTTATAGGATCATCATTACACACTTCGTGTTGACTGTACGAAACTATGGTTATTGAGGCTAACACTAGCGTTCTGAGTGCTCGTCAAGGGACTGGTTTAGGCGGACCAGGTCCATGATCCGGACCCTAACTCTGCAATGAACCTCTTTGAGCGTTTTGCCAGGATGAGACCCGTGATGTTTTCGAACGGCCGTTGAACCCTTCTCGCCATGAATTTGAAGCTCCAAGAGCAGCTCGTGATCGATGATTTATGATGGGTAATGCTCATTAACAATTTCTGGTTGCGGACTATGAAAGAAGATAACACCGGATTGTTGTAAATGCGGTACTAATCAAGTTGGACATGCAGCAAAGATCTTTTTACGCATTACCCATTTATCTCTTTGTTAATTCTTTTGTTGGACTTGATTCGAGTAAGGCGCTTAAATATGCTATGAACAACAGGATTATTTCAAAAAATACCCGGTATCATCGACGCTTTTTGATGGGGAGATTTGGGAGATACAGCTTATGGTCCGTCACGTAATACTGATTCATATTCAGACGAGGTGAGCTTCGGGTCCGAGCATCTAGCCGATAGGTTAACCCTTGGTTAGTAAGTAGAATGGGCGGGGTTTTTCCTTTGTTGGCATAATAAGTATGTTTCAGGAGCCTCCAGTTTGAAGAGCTTGTCAGGGTAGGTTATCTCTTTTTCCGTATATTGTTCTTCTTTGTTATTGCTATAATGAATACTAGCGGAACAATTGTCGCTCTCCATCAATAATGATAGGTCATGAACTAGATTTTTTTCTATCTCTTAGAAAAAAATTAATTTGGATAACTCAAGAAGAATTGTCGGGAGAGAAATAAAGAGAGAGTATAAGGAAGAGGGTGGATATGAGGAAATTGTAAATGTTGAGATGTTGGCCTTGGAGGCCAAGATAGACACGTGGTGAATATGGACCAAGATTGCATCTTGTGAGGGATATTGTAAGCGCATCGGCTTGTGACAAAACAGGTTAGATGTAGGTCTTTCGGAACTCTGGATATAGATTCGTAAGCTACGGGCCAGTTCTCAAATAAAACCATTGAACTCTCCAACCTACCGTAGAGCATCAAAATTTTTTGAAGTGAGTCGTGGAACTTGAACTTCGTAAAATTCCAATTTTTGCTTCAATACCCTTGAACTGATGCATAAATGGGAAATTCACTTATCGTTAGTATGTGATGAAATAAGGTATGATATCATGCATGATTAGCTGCTGTGCCTGTTAAGTAGCAATAAAATAGAAAATTGGAATCCTTATTTATCGAAGCGAGTTCCAGGAAAGCTCCTTGGCAAGTCGTTAGGCCACAAAGACTCAACCTCGCCTCTCGGAGTAAATCTCATGAGGGCAGAGAACTGTCAGGTGAGCTAGCCTTCCCTACCTGCTGCAAGACATTGGCTGTATGGCATATGAGATTTAAAGTCTTTCTTTTTTAAGAAGTTATAAATATGAACAGATTTTGTAGCTTGCCTTCAGGTTGCCGTGAAAATGCTGCCAGAATATGCGGACGAGATGTCTCGAAGCGACTTCCTTAGAGAAATCGGTCTAATGAAAACCCTTGGATATCATGAAAGGTAACACCAATAATTGTTGCGAAAAATTTTAATCACTTCACAATTTCTTTCTTTCTGGTTCACGTACCGATATTTAATCTCCTTTATTCTTCGATCGAATGCTCATTTTCATTGCACTTTTCCCTTTTGAAATTTCAACCTTACTAGGGAAGACGCCGAAGTGGCTGTTTGAAATTTTATGTACGTTTTCCGATGCGCCTTCGAGCGCTGCGTACGAATCTGTCTTTCGAATCTGCTGCGGAGATCAGCGAACAGTGTTACAGAGGTTTGGAGTTACTGCGGTGAGAAGCATTCCCGCATTGCTGAACCGATAAGGTTGCCTGTCGAGGAGGTTGTGAATCGGAGGCTGAACGGTTGCGCAGTTATGCCTATGTTGTGAAGAGGAAGGGTTCCACTTCTTTGCATACTTGAATTCAAGCATTTTTCTAGGAGTACCCTCAGCACTTGTACGGAACACTTTGGCATGGCTGGAGTTTACCTTAGCGAAAATCAGTTTTTCGCAAAAAATGGGTGCTGTCGAAGTACGCGATGTTGTCCTGGCGCAGTGCGCGCTTGGGCCCTGCCGTGCTCTTGAGCTCTAGGGGCTTTTCGCCTCAGGTCTCGCCTCCAGATAAGGCTGCTCAAGCGAGGCGCCTCTTCCAGTTGGCACACTTCGCTCCCATCAGAAGGAGCGTTATGCTGGGCAATACGAGAAAGCCGGGCGGCTCATGGTGCCACTGGCACTGGGCAGCATGGTCGAGCATGCTCCTCCGTCCGGACGAAGCCTGGTACGTATACCCGATGGACGCTGTCTGCTGCAGACTACCTTCAGGTAGCAGCCAGGGTGCCCCTTGCCTCCGACGGAGAAATGACTACTAGGAACGACGACGCTATGGGTTGGCATCTCCAAGCCCGCCAGGATTGTGACGGGGTAGGACGTCGGAGATATTGCTACCAATAAAGGTGAGTAAGCCAAATGTCCACAGATCCCTTTTACTGAGGGTCCTCTCTCACTGAAAGATCTCTAGATGTGGCGCGACCCCAGGTGGCGGATAGGGGGTAAATCGCGGACCAAAAGCCACCATGTACTTGCCCTGAGACGCAGGTGGATTCAGGGGATGGACTCCCTGTTTCTGTAGTGCTGTGTCGATTCATACCAGCTGTCTCCACTCAGGTGTATCCATGCATGCTTGCGTGTAAGGTGCGCTTGTGTGTGTGCGGTTGAAAGTTAAAGAGTACAGAAGTTAGCGCTTGTTCATAGATGTCCGCAGCAGATTTTGAAGGCATAATTGTAATCAGCGCTCGAAGTCACATCGGTAGTAATATATTTTTCTCCGAACGGCCACTTTAACCTACAATCTTTTCCTGGTTAGGGTAACCTTACTCTTCACGAGATCTATTGGAAATATGTAGTGATTTTAGGAAAGGGATTTTATGCGCTCAATCTGGTCAAAATGACCCATTTTCCATCCTACTCTTCACAAATGTTCAGATTGGTCAACATGCTCGCATGTATCACTGAGTCTGAACCACTCTGTCTCATCGTGGAATACTGTAGCGATGGTGATTTGCTGCGGTTTCTACGTGAACGATGTAAATACATGATGAAGGTAAGCTAATTCTAAAATGACGTGATTAGATGATGATTAATATATCGCTCCATTAGTAATGAGAAGAACAAACGAAACCGCTGTGAGCTCCCAGAAACACAATCTTCGCTGGTCACCCGGGTGAGGATAACGGCCTTCTCAATTGTTGGCCCTTCTTTAAATCGCATCATTTCCAAGAGTTAGGAGCGAACTATGAGAAGGCTACGAACTGCGTTCCTCTGACCAGCGTGCAATGGCTGGGGATTTGCTTTCTCTCTATCTGGTCTTAGAATTGCCACAACTGCTGTCATTCTCCAGCGCGAAACACCTCATTTTATTTGTAACAAAATTTTGGTGCTACTAAGCCTTAGGGCGGAAGTGGTGTAGTGGCAAGTGGCACGCTTACCACGCGAGCGGTCCGGGGATCAAATCCTGGGTCGTGAGTCGCCCGGGCCAACCAAGCCTTCCATCCCTCCGGGGTCGGTTAATTGGTACCAGACTTGTCTGGGAGGATAAAAACACTGACTTGTACATCGGCTGGCCCCCGCAAGTCATTGTATAGGCCACATCGCATTCAAACGCCACTACGAATGTACAAATGGAAGTAGAATGCGTGCCGCATCCCAAAAAGGGATTGATCAACGGCAAATGCTTTATCTTTTATCCTTTTACTAAGCTTATGACCCTATATTCAGCTTGACGCAGCAGGTGTGAACTACCACGAGCCTCCAGTTGATAACAGTTACGATATTGAGATGGTGATCACATTGAAGCAATTGCTAATGTTCGCCGTTCAAGTCAGCTACGGACTGGTACGTGATGCCACAACTTATTCAGAGTTTGCACTTATACATATCTAGTCACGCTACCATCCAGTTCCTTTGTTCTTGTTTATATTGTACCGAAGATTTAATGTTTTTGAAGCTCTCGAGCTTCGCATTTTATTGGTGCGCTTTCGGCAGGCCATCATCAGATCAACTTTAAGTAGAATAATTGTCGGAAATTGTCTATTATTAATGACCTGTCGAGGTCGGGTGCCAGTGGTAAAAATGGGACGTCAACCCTGAGGCAAGACTTCAGTAATTGCGCGAGAAGCTCCAAAAGGTCCGATTGTAAGTCCGATTGTTCGTGACACCAAATTTCGTAAATAAATTTGGGATATGATGTACAGGGGCCTTAGCATGGGAAGAGGACAAAGACATTGAGAGCTCCTCACAACGCGGTTCAACCACGTCTCACGGTCGTCGACGGAAGGCGTCACGAGTATTATTCCGTCTGCTGAGCCATGTGGAACCCTGTTCTTGGATCTCCCTTAGAAGTACTCAATAGTTTCGAGAATGCTCCCGATTTTAGTATTTGCGTCTAGGTCCCTTTGCGGCTCCAACTACTAGTGCTTCGTTCTCGGGGAGTTCTGTACTTCGTTTGCATTCATATATGTTGGATGGGCACTTCTAGAATGCAACCAGATTATTGACGAAGCAGCTTTTCTATACCATATGTGCTCTTTATAGCCTTCATGTACTCTTACATACTTCCGTATTGAGATGTGGCAAGAAGTGTTGTGTTCATTCTCTCCATTCTTTCCCGAAAGTCTCCTTCCGTTGTTCGAAGAACAATACGTCATCAAAATAACGTTTGTAGAATAAAATTATGTGGTTTTGTGGCTTTTGCGGTCTACGTGGTTTTGACCCCCGTTTTGGTTTGCATAAGTTGTTGTGTTGCTGCTCGATGAGTTCCTTTACTTCAATTGCGGAGGATCACATCTCTGGAGCATGGCAACAATTTCTCCCAGAAAGGATAAAACAGCTTGCACTACATCCGCCTTGTTCTTGTGAATACTGTTGGGAGTATTCTCTTTTCGCTCGCACAGACCGGAGCCCTACCCGGGTTCTGGCAGATTCCTCAATTTGATGTGAATAGTTAATCAATCCACGAAGAGATTTGCAAAAAAATCTGAGGGTGAAACTCCAGTTCGGGGGGGGCACTCCATTTTTTCTCCAATACTCAAGATAAGGATTAGAGGGCTCACGACACGTAATCGACTCATTTAAAGTAGACTTCTGATAAATATTGGTGTAATGGGTGAGAAACCCTGAAACGTTTTCACATTTCCGCCTGCCATGACCCAAGGGAACGGTCCTGGACCAGGAGAAAGGACACCTCCGCAAAGGGCTAAGGGTGCAGGAGCTCCAGGGTGGATCACCTGTGCAGAAAAGTGGATGGGATGTGGGCAGGTAGTGTGGAATGTAGGACATCCACCGGTCCTTATCAAAAGTACGCTCGAAATGAGTCGTTCACTTATTATCTTATCCGTAGTGTTCGATAGCCCAAAGAACTGCTCTCTAGTACTACGGATAAGATAGCAATGGAGTGGCCCCCCGAACTGGAGTTTCACCAATCTGAGATTTGCTAAAAAAAACACTGAGGGTGCGAAAGCAGTTCAATCAGTTTGTACTAATTATTTCTGCAGAATCTTCGAATATATACAGCAGAACGTATTCATTCTTTCAGCGGATTTGCCGATTCTCTAAGAACGCTAAGAGGCTTGTCCGAAATCTTAGGCGTACAACAATAAAACACAGTACTTCTTGATGAAGTCTGATGAAGTGTTTTCAGGAATACCTCTCATCAAAAGGTTTCGTTCATCGAGACGTGGCCGCTCGTAATGTTCTCGTTCACGGGAAAAACGCCTGCAAAATTGGTGATTTCGGTCTCTGTCGCAACTTGTATGCAGATAACTCTCTCTACAAAAGCAAGGTACGGATTTGTGATATATTTTGTTGCAAGGAGACCGTACTATGCCTCTGAGCTTGATTTATGACGTGAGGATTTTGAGGATGCCGCAAACCTTAATTTCAGGGTGGACGTTTGCCGTTGAAGTGGATGTCACCGGAAGCGATCCGACATTACGAGTTCTCGGCACAAAGCGATGTGTAAGAATAATTTTTTATTTTGCTAATATAGTAATCTAATCAAATTAATGAGGAAAGCGTGTTCATACTCAAGAACAACTGAGGTTGTTCATTATCCATACAACGTGTAACCTGCTCCCTCATGCTCTGTTCAAACGGATGAGGGTGACGCGGTCATCAAACGTTATTAGTTTGAGAGCATTAAACGGTCCCAATCACACATCCACTGCGATTAGAGGTTCAGCTTACCTATAGCGTCAAAACAAAACCGCACCGTTTTTTGCCATCGTGATCTTTGTTGTCACCTATCAGTTCCGCTTCACGCCTTGGAAACATCCTCACTATTTTCTCGCTGTTTGTTTTTGAAAATTCCTCGTTTCTAGGCACCTGGCGGTCGTCTTTCGATCGGTCGAAACCGATTTAGCAATCACATTAAAATTTTCAGATGGGCCTTTGGTGTACTACTATTCGAGATTATCACGCTTGGTGGCTCACCATACCCTTCCGTCTCTCCTGAAGAGATGCTACCATTCCTGGAGAACGGTGGTCGAATGGAGCGTCCAGATAACTGTCCTGAAAATTTGTGAGTCGTCGATTTATTGATTATTGGGCTTGGCTTTGCATGCAACTTGCAGTAGAGGACCGTCTACTACAGGGCGTTTCATAATTAATAGGTTTAGCAACGATTATACGCAGTTTTCATTGCACTCATAGGTTTTTAAGAAAACCAAACAAAAACAACAATAAATGCGTAATCAACAAACGCTCTCGAACAGTCTTCTCTGCAACCGTGCCTTCATTCCAGGCTTCATTGATTCTACGAGCAAATGCAGAACTCGAGCTCAGCTTGCACTCATGCAGCGTTAGCAATCTTTTTTTGCTCACGTGTAAGCTCCACAGTGGGCTAATACAGCGTTGTACATGAAAATGTACAAGAGTTGCGCGCTTTCAGACTACCTCATGATCTCGAAAATATCAGCAAAAAATCAAAGAGCCGTTGAGCCTGAAAAAAAAACGACGGTTAATTATAACTCAACCTAACAAAATCACCCTAAAATTTTGCATTTCCGTAACAAGCAGCAGGCTGGGGATTTCTCTAGGCCTCTATTGCAGTTGGTTTGGCGGGGCCAGCTTTTCATCCAACTTTTTGGTGATTATTTTCTGGTTTTGCACCGTTTCATAATTATAAGGTCACCTCTGTGAAAATGAGTATCACATTATGAGAAACAATCAAATCTGACTGTGGAACTGATATTTGTTACAAACCTGTTATTCTGTAATGCTTTATATTCTTCTTTTGAAGAAAAGGTCGGGTTTATATTACATTTCTTGGTGCTCAGCGCGGTTCGGGAATCTTTCCAAAGCATCTTAGACAGTCATTTGCTCTATTCATCGATAGTAAAAGAGTCTCCATGACTTCAAATATCCTACAAGTTTTGAACACCCATTAAACTCTCTATAAATGATTAGAGAAGAGTTGTGAGGAACGTCCCGAATAATATTTCCTTTTGAAATCAAAGTCACGAGTAATTCAACGTTCCTGGGAAGTATGAACTGTAGAGCGGTGAAATAAAGCAGCGACATTGTGTGGAATGCGTTAAAAAAGATGGTCCGGGGGCTTACCGCCGTTACGAGGAGAGACAACTTCAATCCGTAAACCTGAACTTAGAGGTTGAATAACGATTAGCCTGCGTTGCGATGGCACCACATAACTAGATGGTTCAGTGAGGTTGACATTTTCTGGATGAAACTGGCTTTACTCAACAGTTTCTGCGGATATAAACACTTTTGAAGTGACTTGCGAAGGTGGCCGATTCACTTCAGCGCTTGCAATTTTAGTTAAGGAGATGTGAAAGGTGTGGGTGCTTTTTGTAATGATGTTGTGTCAAAATTTCGCTTCCATGAACTGCATAATGGACTCCAAAGATTAGCATAGAGCCTTGCAAGGACATCTGGTCTCTCCTTGAGCGGACGACGCCGTCCGCACTACGTATTCTTACAGAGTAGTACAGCTACTCACGTGACTCACTCAATTAGAAGCGGCAGCACTCCCGAAATCCAATTGATCTAAACGGGTTATTCTGAAGATCTGATCGCATTTCTCAGATCTTCCCCATGGACTAGAGTGCGCTGATTGCCAATGGGAACTACAAAAAGGCTGAAACAGGCAACCCATGATGCGTAAGAGTGAATCTACGATCAGCGACGCAAATGGGGCGTCTTGATAAAGGTGTAGTTTGGCATGGTGCCATCAAACGCGTTGCGGTGAACTCGTTCATACGTTTTTCTGAGCTGTTACCTGTTCATGAGTGAAAACCAACGGCCAAAAAGGGGTCCCGTTTTGCGTTTTCTTGACGGATTTTTCTGCTTTTTTCGCTACTGGCGTACCATTGAGCACCACCACGTCACACTAAACCCTTCTTGAATTTATCGTAATCGCTTCCTATATGGGATGACTCACCTTCGTAAATGGCTCTGCTAGGGCAATCAGGACAAGACGCGTCTAGGAGAGAGCGCAGCAGATGAGAGGACACCTGGTGACGCCTGATAAATGAAAAAGAATATATTGCAGCTGCTGCAGCTCACTTTGCAAGGCCCTAGCGCTCTTGTCGGGTGATTTTTGTGCACGAGAATGCCACATTTGTGATTGCCCTCTAGGGTCTATCTACAAACCGAAGTAGACGTTCACAAGACTTCCGCCTGGGTTGTGCCTTCACATGCATCGAGAAATAGATTGGACCAACAAAGGATGGTTGAGAAAGGAAGCAATTTTCTACAATGTGCCTCTTTATCTTACCATGTGTTCTCGTAGGACTTCAAATGTTCTTTACTGAGAGTAATAAATCTAAACATCCCATCAGTCTTATAGAGAAGCTTGATCGCAATTAATATGGCTCTTTATATTGCCTTTTTAGCTACGAGGTGATGTGCGAGTGTTGGACAGTGAATCCTCGGCTACGACCAGATTTCTCAGTGATTCGTCAAAAGCTTGCCTCCCTGCTAGAGGAAATCACTGAGGAGTACAGCTATTTGACTCTTGACGCCCAGAAAGACTACTATAATGTCCAGTACGGAGACCAGAAGGTTAGCTGTTGAGTGTATGCATTTTTTAAAGGGAACCATTTGTTGTAATCATACTGCCCCAGATCTAAATGACTGTATTTAGCCGGACGTAATCGTGATCCCCGAGTCAGAAACGATATCGATCGAGCCGATGAAGAAAACGTTAGATACATCGATGTTATCGATCGACAGCCTTCCCATCGATGACGTGACCACGTGGAGTGATGGAAACTCCACGAAGGACTTTCAAGCTGGCGACGTCGCTAGACGGAAGACTGCTTCGGATGGTACGGACGACTCAATGTTGGGTGTGGATAATTCCGCTTTTAAAGGCGATTCTTTATAGTTCTATGACGTGTATAGTTCCATATTGTTTGAATGTTAGGATTTTGGCATAATAATACACGAGTTGGCCTTAATAAAGGCTTGCCAAGCATTGCGAGATCTCCTCAGGGCACGGAAGGAAACGCTCCCTGGTAACGCCATTAGAACAGGACTCAAGAGACATCATCCACTTCACGTTTAGGGAGGTCTTTCATCTCCGAGAGTGCCTTAAGGGGAGTGTAGTGGTAGTAATACGTATATGATACGATAACACGATACGATCGCTGCGAGAGGCTCACAGCCTTGCAGAGAGGAGAAAGAATATAGTGCACCTTAACTATTTTCCCTTACTAAGCTCAGAGAAACTGGGACCCGATCGCCATCGCGACCGAACTACATAACGAATTGGTCGACATTGAAACTTCTGAATTGTCAGCCAACCTAAAAAGTGCTGTTAAAGGATTACGTCTAGGCGTCATGGGTACTGATAGCTTCTGTTGCTTGAACGATGCATGACATATATTTGCTTCGTACAGATCTTGAGGTCTCATCCGTGTTGTATCAATAAGTGGGCTTGATGTCTGATTTCCGGTTTCGGCACGTCTGCATGCTCATCGTTCCGCCGTCAGTCGCTGCTATTAGCTTCCCTTTTTGAAGGACGAATTCACACTGGAAAGCAACCCATTTCAAATTAACTTAGGATGGTGAGTGGTACACGAAAGAAGGAAAAACCATGAGAAACGGCCCAGAACCCGAGAAATGGGACCCCTTCCTTGCCCGTTGATTTGAGCATTGATGCGACTCTCATCGCTGTGCCCTCTTCAACACTACGCTCTCTCAGCTATCTAATCACTCGCCACGTATAGACCTGCGGCGAGTGATCAGATGATCGGTGGGCGTGCAGCCCACCGCGCCAAGATTGAGCCATGATAGGTCGCCGAGGTCAAATTTTTTTGCCAATTGCGCGTCAGTTCGCACCCTCAGGAGGTCCGTGGGTCCCTCAACTAGGTGAATTACCCCTTCTTCGACCTTCATTCTAATCGTGAATTCTCCTTTGAACGAAGGTCAAGGAAAGGGAAAATTGCATAGTTGGGAGACAGGCGGACCTCCTGAGGGTGCTGACCGACGCGCAATTGGCAGCGAAAGATTTGAGCATGGCTCACTCTTGGCGCGGTTGGCGGGGTACGCCCACCGACTATCTACTCGCCGCAGGTCTATACGTGGCGAGTGATTAGATAGCAGAGAGAGCGTAGTGTTGAAGAGGGCACAGCGATGAGAGTCGCATCAATGCGCAAATCAACGGGCAAGGAAGGGGTCCCATTTCTCGGGTTTCATGGTTTCCTTCATCCCTGCTCCACTGACCACCTCTACCCTCATTTCCAATGAGCCAAGTTTCATCTTATATCCTGCCTTTAAGGATCAGAACGCTCCTGAATCCCCTTCGCTTTTACCACAGTTCCTGTCAAGAAGTAAAGTAGGTAAAGTAAGTGTTGGTAAGTAAAGGTCGCGGTGATTCCAAATGCTTACGTGTATCACCATTTCTCAAGCTGTGGCGTATATTTTCTAATTTCAGGCCTTACAGGTGTTCTATGTTTCATTGTGATTAGATTTACCTTTTTTCAAGATTATTGATATAACGAGTAGTACTTTCGCGTAGCGATTGGTTTTTGTACTGCAGTTCTGATCCTATCGCTCCACCTTGTAAATGTTTTGTGGTGAGGAAACTTTGATGCTTTATGTATAAAGTACAAAATTCCGGATTTAGTTCTAACATTCTTGAAAACAGCGATGAAGCTCTCACATAATAACAGTTTTTTCTTTTTTGTCTACACTGTTAATGCAGAATGAAACATCTTGAGAAATCGCTTCCATAGTGTAGAGCGGAGATTTGGAACGGTGATGGAAGTGACTTCTGGATGAGCGGCGCGTGAAGAATGACACAAAACGGATATGGAGAAATTTTACATTAGACAATTTTATTAGGTCGTGAAGAAAGTTCTTGCGCTTTTCGACCTTGATTTTCAAATGCCTGTATCTCGGCTCATTCGAAACCTTTTTGATTGGAGTAAAGACTGTTAGAATCCACAAACCTCTGCCAATAATAGCTGCGTTGAATCAGCCCGGTAGTGCAGAATACTGGAGCTCTAGAGACGATGAACCCGGCGGAGGTCGTTTCCGCATCATGTTGGTTTTTGAAGCATAACTCTTTGGAGAAGCTATCCAGGTAATCGAGAAAGTGACATTTCATAGGCCAAAGGTCTACTGAAGAAGCACTAATTTGTGACAGCTGGTTCAACTTCTGCAAGGTTGGTTGTGCGATGTGCGTCCGAGCTACCTGTCGGGACGAGCCGGTTCCTTTATAATGAGGAATTTCGAGCATATGTGCCAGAGTTCTAGGAGTAATTTGACACATTATCAGGAGTACTTTTTCCACATTAACAGATCCACCTGGTTACGAAAAGCTAGACCAGCCGCTGACCTTATGAAAGTCACCTCAACCTTCCTTCAGTGAAGTTTCACTTTTGCAAAGTTTGTAGAGCCTGATCGCGGTCGATCACTTCACCAAAGGTTCGTATTCTGTAGCAAAGAATCCGTTCTTTGTCGTGCGTCGCAAATGATCAAAAAGTCAGGTCGTTTTCATGGCATGAAACAAGCTAGAACGCGGCGAACGACCCTTCAAAATGGTGAGCTGTCGCGGCACGCCCTATTTGAATTTTTGGGACTTTCCAGCTCTTCCCGTACAACAAGAAAACACAATGCAAGTGCGATCAGTTTAGGAGGAACCCTCTCAATAGTTTTGTGCAAACGTGCTTCAACCAGAACGTTCGGCTAATCGTTGGCGTTGTCCGACCACCACCCTCACAATCTTTAGGGCTCTCGCTATTCCTTACAAAAGCTTTTTGAACAATTGCTTCAGACCATATTTATTGCGAATCTCAGCCAAGTGCATCTATAATATCTTGACCTGCTTCCTCTCCATACTGGCCTGCTTTGAGCTAGAAAAAGGAAATCATGCAAATTTGCTCTTGGAGTATGCCGTATTCAAGGCTTCAAAAAATGACAACTAAATAATAAGGAACATAGCTAGCCTAGCTGTTAGATAGAACAAGAAAAGCTCTTCAAAACCACATACAGCTCATTGGCAGCTTGCTTGAATTCGTAACAAAATAAAGCGTTCAAAAACGAAACACCAAAAAGCGCAAGAACTTTCTTCATGACCTAATAGATTTCTCACTTTCGCACGAAACCTTAAAGTTGACCAAAATTTCCGAAGCTTTGTTTTTTCCTTACTTAGCCCTCGATATTAGGAGGCTACCACAAAATTAGGCAGTGAAATTCAAAACAAACTGGGAGCAGCCAAAGCTGTGAAAATGGCTAGCATACCAGAAAGCATTTCAGGCTGACCGTGTCGTAGTTTACTTTGGATAGTACACTGCGACGCATAATTATAGTTCCACCTACAAATTTCCCAAAAACTTGAATCTGGGGATGTTTTTGAAAAGGCTCTACAGACAAATTGTGACACATATAAACGCGAATCTGAATATTAACACGGAAATCCAGTTTGAGAAAGCAACAATTTTTTATCCTCATTTTTTCGAAAATACCCGCTTTGCCTATGACGCAAAATCATAGTTCCACCTCATGTTTCTCCGCTGCATTTTGCTTTTACCCAATCAAATTTTGAAATTATTACCCATTCAAGTTCCTTAGCTTATAGCAAAGGCAAAACCGCTGTCAGACTTCCGTAAAAGGAAAATCCTAGCAAAAGAGACGCAGGAATTGTTGAAGTGTCAGCTCACGCTGGAATTTGTCGGGGTGACTTCATAACGAACAAATTTCTCAAGGATGCTACAGGATATGATACTGGGAGGAACCCTGATTACTATCCGACCGAGATAAGCGCCGTATCGTGAGAAAATAATACGACTTTATCCAGCCGGGTACGGAAATCAAAACTTCTTCAAAAGTTAGTGTCTCAATGGAGCAGTTTCACGTGTTTTACAACACGCTCGTGACAGTCCATGTCTGGAAGATAAGAAATACGCTTTTTGTGAAAAGAAATCAGAGAGAAAACGAGCCATTTTTCTCAAAAAGTTTTGCGAAGTAGAGCGAAGTGAGGACACTTTTTTATCTGTGATATTTTGGAACCTCTGACCATCCTCCTGATCATTTTCTTCTCCATACATGTGTGCTACGAAGTAGAAAACCGATCTGAGAAAGAAAAACGTTAAGAGAAAGAAAGACGCAAATCAAAAGTCGCAAATGAAAGAATGCCACCGCTTCACTCGACTTGGCGAACTTTCAAAGAAAAATGGCTCGTTTTTCTCTCTGATTTCTTTTCACAAAAAGCGTATTTCTTATCCTCCAGACATGGACTGTCACGAGCGTGTTGTAAAACACGTGAAACTGCTTCCATTGAGACACTAACTTTTTGAGAAGTTTTGATTTCCTTACCCGGCTGGATCTTCTTCTTCTCCTTAGCGTTAGTCCCGCGCAGTCGCGAATCAGAAGTTAAGTCATAAAACTTACTAGTTCTTTGTGTTTGCGTCGTGTAGCAATATGGGTGTAAGCCCGACACATACATTGTTGGTATTTAAACTAGTGTTGCTTAGGTTAATCGGTAGGACTCAAAGTAGGATATAGTATGGGTTGTTGTTAGTCCACTTGCGCCCCAGTAGGTTACTGCAGAGCCGGCTGGTAGGCTGTTGATGCTTTATCTCTTATTTGGCTCCTGGTTTTCCCCCCTTGGGCGCCCTAAGTCTCCTCCTGGACCCACCGATCCGCAACATGTGCTGAGAAGACCACAAGGCCACCCGATAAGGAATGCGATGGACTAAATGTGCGAGACCCCTTCCGACCAGATAAGGTAGTAATGGTCCATGATCCGTCGAAAACCATTTGAGCTAGAACCGTGCACAAGGTCCCTATGGCAAATCTTGTGATGTCCTTGGTGCAGAAAGCTATTATAATGTTTGTTGGCAGAATATGATGTGCTCTTCAACGCCAAGTTCTGAGCAG